TAAGGACGTGACTGTGAACACTAGTGTGTGTGTGGAACAGTAAACTATAAAGTACAGTCACGCGCTATATCAAAATGTGCAATAAATCTCTTCATCAATCCAAAACCTATCTGTAGTCACTCGTACACATGATATTTGTATTTGCAAAAAATTGTCCCTTATATTTTATAATGGTCATAGCATTTTATTCATAAAAATATTAACTATACAGGGAAATTCGTAATTTTGTTGTCCGTTTAAGGGCTCTGCACTTCATGGCGACCAGTGCACCGCTGGCTGCAAGGCACATATGAATTCTTCCGATGAATCACTATGCCTAATGACTGATAACGTTTAGAATTATAGGAAATTTTTATCTTTGTAAACTGCTTACTGGCATAATGTTTCATGGCAAGCAATGCGGTTCATGCATGGGAATTTATGATTTGTCAGCAGTGAGTAGCAGATATCAGCTCCATTCTTCTTTTGTTCTCAGTTACAGTTAGTGAGCAGTGTGTTCCATCATGGTGCAGCATACTTTAGAGCAATGTGTATTTCTGTATGATATCTACATGAAATACAGATCTGCTATCATGATGAAAGAGTTCCCAGCCGACAAACAGTTCATCATTTGGCGAACAAACTTAGATCAACAGACTCTTAATATATAGGAACAAAAACATAAGCACATAGTGCTGAGAAAATGTTAAATAATATAAGGGCCAGACTTGAACATACACCTAGAAAATCACTGAAACATCTATCTCAATACACTGGGATGTTAAGTCTACTACACAAGAGTGGCAACACAATTGCTGGTGCTTAGACCCTACAAAACAACAGTAATCCATGCCTTGCAGCCGTGCACTCTAGCTAGAATAGTTCGTTTTTTCAGTTGGTTTCTTCAATTTCTCAAAGGTGAGATGGATCTGCAATTAACATTCTCTTCTGATGAATTGTGGTTTCACCTGCATGGATGTATAAATACACAAGATAATAGCTAATGGAGTTCATAGAATCCACATCTAACTCGAGAAGTCCCACTCGATCCAGTGAAAGTTGGTGTCTGATGTGCTGTTAAGTGCAAGGATTGTTGGACCTGTGCTTTTTAGCGAAACAATTAATTGCGAAAGATATGTACAGGTCACTCTTGGGCAATTCTTTCTAGAGTTAAGAGAAGGACAAAAACTCTATGGCTGGTTTCAGCAAGATTCTGAGCTACTGCCCACAGTGCATGTATGTCTATGCGGGTTCTGTCCAATATCTTGGGAACAGAATTATCATCAGTGGTATTTGTTCATCTGATCGTAATCCTTGTGACTTTTTCTGCTAGAGCTGTTTGAAGGACAAAGTTTACACCAGTAACTCCAAAACAGAAGAACTAAACGAAAATATTCATAGGGACATTGCAAACATTCCTGCAGAACAGCTTCAAAGGGTAAATCAGAACCTCTTCTGCCAGTACAAGTAATATATATGTATAGAGGACCAGCATTTTCAACACCTCTGTGATCTGTGAAGTGTAACTACATTATAAACGTTATCAGCCAATAGGCATATTGATTCATCAGCAAATTCATATGCACCTTCAGCCAGTGGTGTACCAATTGCCATGAAAGCAACCTCTCTGTATATAATGTATAAATAAATATTGTCACATATAGGATGGTACACATGACAAGAATGACGGGTTCTTGTTTGGATGATTGGATTTATTAGCACTCTGGTTACAGCTTCTCTTAATCACACTTAATTACAGCGCTATCGCTGATTTACACACGCTTCATAATTCACTGTCACACATGAACTAGTCCTCTCTTGGTAAGGGATCTCAACACAGAAACTAGCACTTCAAATCACTCCAAGTATTATACATAATTAAAGCCTCAATGTCACTTAAAAACACTCTGAAATACTGCCTTGGTTATTCCTGGAATCTCATTATATTGCCCATGCACCTACTATGCACAGAAAACAGCCTATATTGTTGTAGAGAAGTGTTTACCACAATTTGACTGCCGCGGTCATGGCGCCAACCACATAGAAAACGCCATACTCCTACTGTTGCCTTGCATGTATTCAGCTGCGAGGTGTTTAATGGTCAGTTACCTAGCAACGTTCTGTCCATCCATGTTACAACATCTTTTCTAACCTCTTACTGATAATTGATTTGTGTTAATGGAATTATGGTTGTTGTCGTCGTCGTCACCACCACCATCTACATAATATAAACTGCTTTTTTTCTTCTGTTTGTATATTTTCGTCCCCCTCTCTGAGTGGCAAAGTCAGTCAACGAAATTTATATTTCACATTTTGGCCCCTAGTTTTCATATTGTTATTTTCCTGAAGATACCAGCAATGTAATTTTATTTAGAAGGATGATCTCCCTAAATTATAGAAATTTAATCAGTCATTAGAGTTGTCGCTTTTTACAGTAAAATACTTTCTTGTGCTTTGGGGCCCATCTGAAAGGCCCCTATTTATGGAGCTGAAAGGTTCATATTCACAGGGCACCTCACATAGTGGTTAACTCTTGACTACGAAACACAAAATATTAGGCACATCCACCCATACCTACACAAGTCACACCAAGAAGTGCCTTCCCATAGTCTGTGTGGCTCAAAACATACACGTACAAATCCTTCAAAATCTAAGAGATTTGACTTGTTCCACCATCACAGTACTTTCTCAGAATTACTATACGAGACAGTAAAAAGTTGTCCCTGCACTCCCTCAAGTGCCACACCTTGAATGTATGTAATGGATATATGGCTCCATGTTTTCTTCCCCTCAGTACTAGACAGAGCTGAACAGTAGTCACTTCCGCATTCTAGCCTGCTTTCCTCCGGTGAATAAGTCCCCAGCACACAGGTGACTGTGGGCAGCAGAATCTGTCTGAACACTGGAGAAGATAAAGTATCTTAACCCTGCCAGGAATTTAACCCTGGTTCCTTGGTTGTCCAGCCTGTATACTAACTGAGCTATCCTGCTTCTTATTATTAACAATATAATTTATTATACTGTATTATTAAAAATTATTTCCATTTAAGTATTGGAACAACTCAGTACTGTTCTTGCTTCATATATTTGACTATTTATTACCAAGAAAAAGTAACACACACCACAGAACACTGATCTCTTCTGCAAAGGAGAAGAAATTGACTCCCCCCTTCCACTGCTACCCCACATTTATTCACTAAGTACCTCACAGGATTTCTCACTACCACACGAGTCAATCTGCTCACTGCTGATAACTTACTGCATATTTTGAAATGTTTGAAGAGCACATAAACTAACCCAAAAATTGGGAACATTTTACTGTACTAAATATAGCTATTATTTTGGAAGCCACCCATCATCTTGAGTTCATTCAAACACAATGTTTCAGAAACTGAATCTGGAAGAAAATGTTCCTACTCCGTCAGGCCCATTAGAGAGAGCCAATCTTGATCACTGCACCCAGCAAATGACACCGGCTCTTTGTAATACGTCAAACTGAGTAGAAATTTTTCTCCTCTACACGACTGAAAAAATACCCAGTTTCTAAAACACTGTGCTTTACACAAATTTCAATAAGGTCAAGATTGTCCCAAATAACAGCCACATTTATTGCAACATACCATCATCAAAACATTTAAGACTTTACTTACTGCACACTTATAATTCAGTTATTAAAATCTTTAGTACTTAAGGGAGTTGTTATTGCTTCAATTTAAAAATTAACTTGACTTTTAGTTATTTTCAATGAAAAGTGCAAAGTGATACCGTTTCAAGATGAAAATGAAACTTACTTCAAATTACATATGATTTTTAATTGTCTCATATTAATGAGACTTTATAGTGTTTCAAATGAAAATTAATGCACTGAAACTTATGTTTATTTATATATTTCAAGGAAGTACAAAAAACTAGCAATATGAACAACATAATGTATTTATTTTAGTTTATCTTTTTAAGAAACTTAAAAACTACATATAAAAGAGGTGCGTCAATCAATCGGGCGATTTGGCACTAGTGATTTTTCCTGAATTGATTGGAATGGGGAGGATGCCACTACTGCCACCCAGCAGCCTACTTCAAAGCGTTTTAGTTGCAATGGAGCCATGGACTGGAGCACAGCGTGCTTTATGTGTAAAAGCATTTTACAAAAACGATGACAATTTCGTGAGCATTCAGCATGAATTTCAAAGAGTGTTTGGTAATAATCACAATCGTGCTGTTCCATCTGTCCATGCCATCAAGACCTGAGTTCAAAACTTTGTGGCTACTGTTTGTACACCAAAGAAGAAAGGTAAAGTAAAAAAGTAAAGCTATCCCTGTACCAGGCTGTGAAGGCCCATAGTGAGACGTTGAGGCTCCCACATTGTGTAGACAAACGGCTCAAAGATGGCGGTAAGGTTGTCAGCCTTATGTGCCGGCCACGCTTTACTCCCCAGGAAAATTATTTAATTCCTGGTACTCATTTCTGTTAGAGGCTGAGTAAACCCCAGGGTCAAGTGCGGCTAGAAGGATTAGGTCAACAGAAAAAAATCCAATGACCTCATCGGGACCTGAACCCGCGACCTTCTGGCTTGTAGCATAGCCCCTCAACCAACTACGCTACCGCGTAAAAGCAGCACATACACCCGAGAATGTAGTGGCAGTGATTTTTTCTCTGAAATCCCAAGTTTTCAAAGCTCCACACTCCACATCAAATTGAATGAATTCAAGATGCTGCAAACAGTAATTAGTGACTTTAGGAAGAGATTTACAGCAGAATGGTGGTCATCTGTCAGATGTTATTTTCGGGAAATAGACTTCTGTTCTCAGTGAGTCAGTTGAGTTAAACCAAATGCTTTTATGTTTACACTGTATTCATGTGTGTTAAAACCAAATACATGCAATAGCTTACTGTTCATAACGTTTTAAAATCGCCCGATTCATTGACGCACCCTATATAAACACAACTACAGTACTGAAAGAACCACAATATTTTTTTAATTCAAAAGAATTTATATGAACTACAGGAATAAACTCATATATTAAACGATACAATATGCCCTTTAATAAATTCTGACAATACAGTAACAAAATGCTGTTACAAAATCAGTTCAACAATACACTCAAAATTCCAAATTTCAATTTCTTCCCCTTAAAAATGTTTAAGAAATTACATTCTGAAAGCCATTTTTATGTTCAAAATGTACATTACACAAATTCGTTGTTGTTGTTGTTTTATCACCATCATTATTATTATTATTATTATTATTATTATTATTATTATTATTATTATGAGCTACAGGAACTTGTTCAACCCATGGGAAACAATAATGTCAGTCACAAATTTGAATGAGATGGAAGTGGCATATATACTATGCCCATATTTCCATGACAGTATTAACTATTAGAAATTAATGTACCCTCTCTATACATCAGATTATGGATTAGGACATTTGGTGAATTAAAAGGATAACTGTGAAATCCCACTGTACTGAAGGGAAAAATAATTCTTTTACTAAAAAAGTGGATCCATTAAAATTTCCCCATCCCTCATCCAGGAAGCACATTTAAATAAAATAAAGAGTATGAATGGAAGAAAAGTTCACTATATGCTTATGTTCTACATACCAAATCTTTTATACCATTTGAAACATACTGTCTGGCAGTTCCCTTCTTAATTATGAATGTTGGAAAGGAATTCAAAAATCTATATAAACAGTAACATTATAATGAAAACTAACTGATGGCAAAATTAGTGTAGCATTTGAGGTACATATTATATTAAATTTTAACTGCTATACATTCAATACACATCCGCTGACCACTGCAAAAATCATCTGCCATATAAATGAGTAATAAATGTGCAAAGAAAATTATAACTGAAAACTATCATATCATTACAGTTCATAAGAATTTAATCACATCTCTCCTTGCTCATCTTCAGCACATTCTTCATCAACCATTTCTCCATCATCTTCATAGTCATCTTCAGCAGTTGCCTCCTACAAATAACAATAAGAATATTCTTAAGAATGAGCAACTTTATCCTGAACTAAGTACTTTTTTTTCCTTGGCACTACAGCCCCAGTGGGCCTAGGCCTACCTCCATGAACTTCTCTGTTCACTTCGGTTTTTCTAGATCATACACACTCGGCAGGACTCCTTGGGCGAGTGATCAGCTCGTCGCAAGGCCTCTACCTGTAGACAAACACACAAAACGCACACAAACATCCATGTCCTGAGTGGGATTCGAACCCACGATCTCGGCTTCAGAGCGAGCGAAGACAGTGCATGCCTTAGACCGCTCAGCCATCATGACCGGCATGAACCAAGTACATATGCCTGCAGAATTAAAGTCTACTAGTTAAATCACAAGAAATTTTTAAAAATTTCCCAGCACTGTCTCATTGCTCATGTAAAGGGCTCTGGATTTAGTATAAACATCGTCCAAAGCCAAGGAACAGTCTGTCAATCCTAAGAAGGATGTGCACTTTGTTAAGAAAAAGCAGGTACAAGACTTTATGGAACACACACTGCTGAACACAGTGCTGCATACTATTGGGTCACTGAAGGAGGGCTTGCCATGTGACTTCTGGTTAGATGTGGGGTCTTAAACTGAAAATGATTCAGTATGACTTTACAGTCATAGCAAGGCCCACGTTTATGGCAGTTGTGTGTTGGCCAAGAGTCTAGCCATTGTCAGGGCTGATCTTGGTCAGCTGCAGAGGCCAGCATGTGCAAGTATCATGCTTATAAAATATTAAGTCCTTAAGAATCTAATCCTGCCAGCCACACTATGGCCCTGCAGTTGACTCAGCCTCTCAACAGAAATGGGTACAAGGAATCTTCTTGGAGGTAAAGGGCAGCCAGTATGTAGGGCTGACTGTCTAGGAAATGTGGGGACCTCAACATCTCACAACCCTACTGGCCTCTGCTGCCATTTACAGGAATAGCTTTACCCGTTTAAAGAAGCAAAATCAACCAAATATTTTAAGCTGGAAATGTTTTAAAAGAAGATTCCATTGACTACATAATTCAGCATGATGATGGCTATAAAGTTCTAAACCAAATTTTGCCCTCTCCCCCATATTCGGAGCCAAAAACAAAGCATGTCATGAAAACCAGCAAATTTCTTGACATCTTCTGCTATCAAGAATATGTGGCCTGAATTTATTTGGCTATTACCCAGAACAGAGAATTGCAGATTAACTGTAAATGAAGCAAAGTACTTGAGATGAATAATTAATAAGAAATTATCCAAATGCTTCTGCAATATTTCAGTCAGAAAGCAACAAGATGTGTTACCTGAAACAGCAGGATTGCCCATTTCAAGAATATAGAGCAGCATATAAATATGATTGACATTTAGTTAAGAGGTTCCCCTCATGAACATATTTTCTGAGGATTAAAAATGCACCAGAATATAGCAGTTGTGATAAGGGGATCTATAAACAGGTGCATCACATTAGTCAGTCAGTTTATTACATGTGAATACGACTAGCATAATCCATTACTATCACTTTTTTGTCACAAGCATATGCATGTGTTCAACAAAGGAAAGTGGAATGGAATTAAGTAAAGGTTTAATTTTCCAGATTTCAGATTCTCTGAGGATGAAAAACTGGGAGCTATTGGAAAAATAAAATAAAATCAGAAACCTAATGCATGGTTACTTCAAGAAACCACAGCTGTTTCACTCCAAAAATATACTTGCCCAATTGGAAATACCAGAAATGTATACATTTTGGTAATACAAAGTATACTGAAAAGAGCTCAAAGCAAAATAGCCTCAAAGTGGCAATCAACAGCTACAAAAAAGAAATTTTAAATCTTTTTGAATGAAGTATTTACATTCCCTTTATACTGGGAGAATGTAGTGTAGCATTTACGTTATGAATTCCATCAGTAAAATGAATTCTGGCTTCTCTAAACTTCTGAGAGATTCTGTGCCTGACGTTAATAATGGTTGTAAAAATATGAAACAAAGTTTTGAAACATTGCATGTGTGTTCCTACACAGCAATTTAATATCTGCTCATGAGGCTTCATACAATGTTCTCTAGCCATGATAAAAACCAATCAGGTTTCAGTTTTCATCAAGAAAATTCCAAGAAATGAAATGGGTTATGATGCTGAAATCTGACAGAGATTGTTAACAGTCAAATTCTAAATCAAATGACACACACATATATAGGCGGCATGTGACAAGAAAGTATAGCAGAAAACTAAGTATTTTTTTTTATTGCTAGTGGGGTGGGACTAAGTCCCTTGTACTGCAGCCACTTCTGGCCTATTGTACCAGCCCCAGATGGTAGGTGAGGGTGATTGTGGAGCAATTGGTGGAATGAAGATTGGCAGGGGAAACCGAAGTACTTGGAGAAAACCTGCCCCAGCGCCACTTTCTCCACAACAAATCCCACTTTACCAGACCCGGGATCGAAGCTGGGCCGCCACAGTGGGAAGCCAGCGACTAACCGCTTGAGCTATGGCATGGCCAGAAAACTAAGCAAGTTTGAGAATACAGTAAAACTTGATTATAGCAACAGCGGTTTCTGCGACACCTTGTCTATTGCGTCAAATATTCAATGGTACAAACTAATTCCTCATAAAGCAACTGTTTTTATACCTTGCTTAGTACGACATGCACAAATGCATCAACCTCGTATGTAACATCATTTTCATTCCTGAATTTCTCTGATATCGTGGGAAAGTTCGATGTGTCTGCCCACCCTCACTTTCTCTACTTGCTGACGTGACTGTCCTGGAAGAATACGATCGTGGGCTGCAAGAGGAGCATGGGTTTTATGCGAAAAAAAGGGTGTGGGGTGGGACTGCGTGAATAGCGCAAGAGGACGGGGCAGGTTATTAACTGCATTCCTTTCCTAGAATCTCGTCTAACTGGACCTCACATTGTCTACTTACCCTATAGTGTTCCTTCCTAAACCCAGAGACGTGCAGTAGCGAAAACATGGCAAAGAAAAGGAAAGTTTTAAGCACTGAAGAGAAAGTTACAGTGATTCGTGAAATAGAAAATGGAAGGAAAAAGCTGATGTATGCCGCGAATTTGGTTTGGTGAATTCTACAGTACAAACGATATGGAGAATCCATATTAATTCCATGTTAATGTTACGTTAGTCTGTACTTAACTACGTATTTCACTAAAAAATGCAACATTTTAACTCGGTTTTTGGTAGATTTTTACGTGACTAACATAAGGCTACTGTGGAAGTGCCCATTTCGGTTACGACATTCGTTTATAACGACACTATTTTTAGGTCCCTTTGATGACGTTATAACCAAGTTCTACTGTATATGTTTGGCAGATTCTGCATATAAATTTTTAAAGATCAAGCACACAGATATTTTTAAAATGATGATAATGGCAATGAAATTGATTTAGTCAAGGAAAGAGATATGAAGAAAGCAGTCTTCTGGGATTTGGCACCGTGTATATGTGGTGTTAACCGACGTTTCGGAGGAACGTATCGCCCCCATCTTCAGGGTAGAAGAAAAAGTATAAGAAATCTGCAAGCGACAACACCGTGAGAAACGGTAAAGCAGGCAAGGTTAATGGGAGGGCATTAAGCCCTAAGGTTTGGGGTTGTTATGCCTTGTGTATCTGGCATCATGTCCTGGAGGTTTCTTAAGGACATGACGCCAGATCCATTAACCTTGCCTTTCTCCCCTGACACAATATTCTATACCTGCTCTAGCCTGCTACCTGCTGGCCCACCTCTCCAGACCCTTCCCTTCTCCTCTCTACTGATTTCCCATGTAGCTCCTCTCCCTTCTCTTCCTGCTATTATACAGCTGGGTTTGTTCTAGACATTAGTCTATTTGCACTGCTCAGGCTGGTTCTTTGCTTGCGTATTTTCTTGTTTTTTCTTCTACCCTGAAAATATAGGCGATACGTTCCTTCGAAACGTCAGTTAATGCAACATCTACACGATGCCATAACCCAGAAGACTGCCTTCTTCGTAGTCACTGCCGTTAAAACCTCAATTCTTACAAAAGGTAACTTGACAACATGTCCTATTGGTCATATCTAGCAGTACTAATATTATTTGTATAGCATATTTGCCCAAATACAAGATATCTTTGTGTACAAGCTGCATCCTCAAAATTATATGGTCTTGAAATGACAAAAACTATTTTATCATTATGTGCAATAATGAAGACATAGTAAGCAAATTTCTTGTTACTCCAAGTAGTTATGTATATTACTTAAAAATTTATGTTAATTTAATTTTTGGTGTTTACAAGAGAAACTAATAAAAAAATTATGTTGCAACATTTCCTTTAAGACCCCATCAGATGGAAAAATGGATTCAAATAGTTCACATCAATGTATCATTCAATCAAAGCTCAATGTCATCTCTTGGTCATAACAATGAACTATGTTTTTTACCAAACCTAGACAATCCAACGATATTTCTTTTTCTCTAAGAACCATTTATAGGCCTCACCCTGATCTTAAGGGCATCAATTAAAAGGTGACATATTTAGGTAAATATTATAATTTACTTGTGTTGTGCTTGTAAGAGATTTGATTAGAACTTTATTATGAATTGAGACATACTGTATGGGAATTTTGTCATCTAACTAAAATTTGCTTTTAATCAAGTTGGTGTTCAGTGTGTTCACAATATGACACTCGCCTGGTATTGCTGGTATTCTGACACTAAATCATTCATATTAGATTCAGCCTCTGTAAACTCCATCTCATCCATTCCCTCTCCTGTGTACCAATGTAAGAAAGCCTTGCGTCTAAACATTGCTGCAAACTGCTCTGATATGCGCTTGAATAACTCTTGAATTGCTGTTGTGTTGCCAATGAATGTTGAAGACATCTTTAGTCCCTTTGGAGGAATATCACACACAGCAGTCTTCACGTTGTTTGGTATCCACTCCACGAAGTAGCTGCTGTTCTTGTTCTGTACACTCAGCATTTGCTCATCAACTTCCTTCATGGACATACGACCCCTGCAGCAGGTGTAAAGTGAGCTCTCAACATGCACAACAATTCAGTACACTCCTAAACTTGAGGTTAATTTGTTTCACACTGTTTCTTCATTTTACTTTTGTTGGTATACTGCTGTGACATATAAAATGTAACATTGCATGTGTCATTAACATCTTTCCTAACATCCTTACACTAAAAATATGACAGGCATGGGTTTTAGATTGCTGCCATACAAACTCAAGATGGAGGACAAGCAAGAGTGGAATCACCATTTAATATTCCATGACTCAAGATTTTCCCTCAATTAACATTCAATTCCAATGACGCCAGCCAATAAGCTCAGTGTTATATTATCTCCTCTTATGATTTTCCTTAGTTTAGTATTCATATTCACTGGTCTCTAAAGAAAACTTAATAGGAGTTTCACTGTAATTAATTGGTAAAATTTAACCCTTTAAATTCTGAATTCTGCCCACAAACGTATTTATGTACTTTATATGGTTCTTATAATAAAGAGCAGCTGTTCTCCTAAATTGCATTAACTTGTTTGGTCTTTGTAGCATATTTAATGTTCCCTGTGAGGTAGGGACTGACTTATCTACTTAGAAGAATTTCAGTCTCTAAAAGATTGATTCAGGCTGACTGAACATAGGTTTCTAGCATTGTTGAAAGGTTTGTGTTTGTGAAGATGGTGAATAATCTTCATGGGTGCAGTGCCACGTAGTACATTAGATGTTTGCCAACATTTTGAAGAAATCTGCTGCCCACACCTTCTGGGTAGGAGAGTAAACTAAGTGATGAAAAAAGCTGTGTGGATCTACAAGAGGCAGGGCTGGGGTGCTCAGCAAACAAACACAAATAAGAAGAATGGTAAAAGAATATATGGCCCTTCCTCTCCCTATATTGAAACCACTCTTTCATCACTTAGCTTACTTTTTTGCTCTGAAGATGGAGGCATCATGTTTCTGCAGAGCATTGGTGTCAGATTATATGACAGCACAGAACACTAGACAATAATCTTCATAGTCACTGCAGTGAGAACCTCCCATCTCAAAAACTTGTCCAGAATTCCAGTGACCATGGCCTTTGTAAACCAAACAGAAGCAATAGGTCTAAGTGATTTGCTGTCAAAATTCTAACTTACAGTTACATGTTCAATTGTCAGCCCCCAGCTTTTATTACCTTACTTTCCAGAATGCAAAAGGACTTAAAATTTCTTCATTCTGTATGTGTACATGTATGCATGTGTGTATCACTATGTATGATCTATGTGTGTGTCTCCATTTTCTACATGTCTGTCTGCATGTGCGTGTCCCAGTGTGCACGTGAGGGTAGCATGTACACTACTGATTGCTTCTATGTGCTGAAAGAAGCACTTATAATACGGAGCATCAGTATTATAAAATAATTATTCATTGTAGTGATATTCTTAGACTGGAACATAAAAATATAATTTAAAACTTATTCATCACACTGGGTTTACTTCCATATTTTTTTCAACCTCTGAATGTTTAGATAAATTAAATCTAGGATTGTCATGGCAAAAGCTGCATTTAGCAAGAAGAATAATCTTTTTACCAGCAAATTGGACTTAAATTTGAGAAAGAAACTAGTGAAATGCTACATTTGGAGCATTGCTTTGTATGGGGCTGAAACTTGGACACTTAGGGCAGTAGATCAGAAACACCTGGAAAGCTTCGAAATGTGGTGTTGGAGAAGGATGGAGAAGATCAGTTGGACCGATTATGTGAGAAATGAAGAAGTGTAATTTAGAGTCAGTCAACAGAGGAATATCCTACACAAAATAAAACGGAAGGCTAATTGGATTGGTCATATCTTACGCAGTAACTGCCTTCTAAAAGAAGTTATTGAAGGAAAGATAGAGGGGCGGATAGAAGTGACCAGAAGACGAGGAAGAAGGCATAAGAAGATCCTGGATGACCTTGGGGACAGAAGAGGATATTCTCATTTGAAAGAGAAAGCTCTAGATCGCATTAAGCGGAGGAACTGTTTTGGAAGAGACTGTGGACCTGTCGTCTGACAGATTACTGATGAATAAATGTTTAGGTACTGATTCAGCTGTACCATTGTGATTTTTAGGAATCAGTTCAGCCAAACCAGTGAGAACCATCTCCAACACATTCCTGCAATAGGTCTCCCTGTCAATTATTCAAGTCTACTAATATATCTGAAGTTTGTCTTCTTTCCAGCTCTTAATCTCTGCTTTTTAGAAAAAGTTAATATGCACCAAAGAAGTTTTACCTGAAAATAGCAGCTACTGTGAGGTAACGGCCATGCCTGGGGTCACATGCAGCCATCATGTTCTTGGCGTCAAACATCTGCTGAGTCAGTTCTGGTACTGTCAGGGCTCGGTACTGTTGGCTACCACGGGAGGTAAGCGGAGCGAAGCCCGGCATAAAGAAGTGGAGACGTGGGAATGGAACCATGTTGACAGCAAGTTTACGGAGATCAGCATTCAGCTGACCTGGGAACCTGAGGCAGGTGGTCACACCTGACATTGTGAGGGAAACTAGATGGTTCAGGTCACCATAAGATGGATTAGAGAGTTTCAAAGTGCGGAAACAGATATCATAGAGAGCCTCATTGTCGATGCAGTACGTCTCATCTGTATTCTCAACAAGTTGGTGGACAGATAAAGTGGCGTTGTATGGCTCCACAACTGTGTCAGACACCTAGAACATGTGTGAAACATCCATTGTAAACAAAATTTAATAAAAGGTATTTTCTGTATCAAGTCACATTATGAAACTGTCTTATTTATGTTATCTGGCATACATATTTTGACCATCTGATTGAAACGTCTATTCCAGCTGAAACTGAAGTTTTTATTACATTACATTACATTACATTACATTTTGTGGATCTGAAGATAGTCAAAGTGACTGTAGGATGTGGAATATGTCACATAAATACAAAAACATAAGTAGAGTACAACTGAAGTTTACACATAAGGAAACCAAGAAAACACAGTGGTTACACATAAGGCTATTTAAAAATATATCCACATATATACATCATACTGTCAACTTAAGCTATTTACACTACCTTTAAACAAATGAGTCATTTTTAGACAGTAGGCATTCATCAGCAGAGTAGAATAAGTGTGCCATTTTGATTGTACTTTATATTCATAAACCATTTAAGATCAGGTGGCAGATTACTGAAAATTTTGATCCCAGCATAAAATGTGCTTTTCTGAAAACATGCGAGGTTAGCAGTTGGTTTATGGAGATAGTGCTTAGGTCTTATTTTAGCACTCTGCATTGGTCTGAAAACATTCCTTATTTGTATCGAAGTTTACTAATGAAAGTATATATTCACATGGAAGAGTTCAGATCTCTAGTCTCCTAAGTAGACTAAGTGCAAACAATATATATTATGTCTTTGATCTTGTTCTCTTCTACACTACATGTTTCGGCCTCTATCAGCCATCATCAGGTGTATACTCTTAACGTTGCTGCCACACTGAAACCCAGTCTAAAATTTAACATTTAAAAAACACATTGTTATTTTCTTCGTATTATCAACATCTACCTCGTTGATATGTGTCTGGTATGTAGATTATATTGCACACATCAAATTTTCATGTAGTAGCACTATAAAATCTTTAGTTATGATTTTAAAATCCTTTAAAATTTTCTCTAAATTTTAAATTTAGAATTTAAAATTGTTAGGGTTACTCGCCCTATGTCTTAAGTGCTGGAGCGTCTAGTTCTTGTTCCACACTGTACAGGTGTTATTCTGTGTGGTCTTCCTGTGTGTGTGCCGCTGCTTGTCTCCTAAGTAGATCTCTATAAGAATTACAGGATTTGACACCTATCATGATTCTAACAATTTTCTTTTGCAATGTAAATAACATTTTTCTGTCAGACTAATTAGTCCAGAATATGGTTCCGTACTTCATTAAAGAGTGAAAGTAAACAAAAAAAAATTATTTGAGAGTGTTGGTGTTGCTGATATGCAAGAGAGATCTAATTGCATAATATGCTCCACTTAGCTTTGGAACCAACTGATCAATATGGTTTTTCCAGATTAAATAATTTNTACTAAGGATGATTTAGAACGCATACTTTCATTCAGTTATGAGATATGGGATAGTATTTTGGGGAAACTCGTGGGAGGCTAAGAAGATTTTTCTTTTACAAAAAAGGGCCATCAGGATAATGTTGGGAANGTTTATGCTCTTCTATATATTTATCATTATATCCAATGTTTAATGAACATTGTGGTGAGTTTTTGTTATAAATTTTATTACACATTTGATTTGTTTCATTCTGGTCCATCACACTAATATTATGAAAAAGCTAAATACTGTAGTTCCATTCAGTGTGATTTGTTAAGATTTTCTTATTTCAATTATTCACACCCTTACATGTTTCGGATTTCAGAGACCATCTTCACAGGGACACATTTACATCAATACAGTTAGAAGCCATCATTACAGTACATGTTCTAAAAGTCAAAATACATATATACACAATATAAATAATATACAGTTGGCTGTAAAATCTAAAGTTTTTACAACTACAGCGGCTGTTCCAATACTTTAAAATATTTATAGTTAGTTTGTTAAAATTCTATAGGAATTTGTAAACCAATGGTTCATGTCATCCCTCCTATTATTTCTTTTGACGGGGGCCGAATGTGTACTGTATTGTAATGATGGCTAGGGGGGCCTGGAGCTGGAATTTATTTTTTTCAATTCAATGTGCCAATTAGAACTGCCACATCAACATACCAATAACCCTCATATGTGGGAAGTTGTAAGAAACGATTTCAGTTTTAAAACTTGTAATTTTGTCATATACAGTTCACATTTAAGGTACGTGTTTAAAATTAATCAGAGTTTTAACTTTAAAATCTCTTCTACATCACTTGTGTATGCACACTACATATTTTGAACAACACTGATCATCTTCAGGCACCTCTAAAATTGCCATGAAACCGCTGTTATTTCATCCATAAGTTCAGTTTTTGGGGGGTACGACTTCGTCTATTCGCCCACGTAATATGTATTAGCATCCTGCATTAGTATTTTATGTATGACGAGTTGGTACTTCTTATGTCTGTACTTACCCTATGGTGATGGGTAGTTCTTATTTTGTCATGTGCAGTCATTATGGATGTTTGCTAAGCTGTGTTGGCTCTGTTTTAGGGTGTGTGTGTGTGCTGCTATCTATCTAGTGTTTAATTCTTGTGAAGTTTCAAATGTTGGGTTATAGTAGTGTGCATAAACCAGTGATGTAGAAGAGATTTTAAAATGTAAAATCTTAAAAAGGTTTTAAAAAGCAAGCTGCATGTAAGAAGACTAATAACTAACAAGGAATCAGTAAATAATGTACAACAGAATGCTACATTATTATTAATCAGAGCATACATCACACAGATCAGTGGTTTGCAAACTATGGTTATTTAACTTTTTGAAAATGGGAAAGCATATGTATCAGTAAACTTTTCTGGACAATATTATATTATATGAACATACTGCATCTGATATAACAGATGGGAGAGATGTCCATCCAATCAGTCAACCCAGCTTGGACACCTCTTCCACCTGGAGCCCCACTGTCACAGCCAAAGTAAAAAAAAAACTACAACTGCTTCAAGTTAGATTAGTGGGAACATTTGTTTTTCTTCTCTCCAGTGATGATTTCTGTTTTGACAGTCCTATGGTGCATGGCCTCATACCTGTAGAATTTTCATTAATCCAATGTTTTCTTAGCTCTCACATATGGTTTATGCTGTTTGCCTAGTATACCCCACCCCATCTTTGTGCTGGCATAGGAGTCCAGAGATAAGGGCTAGCTCTTATCAAATGAGCCCAATTGAGTAGGTTTTAACAGAATATGAAGACAGAATCCAGTCTCCAAAAGGAAACACACATTGTGTTTTGAAAAATAAACATGGTATTTTTAGATAAAGACAGGAGGATGGATAACATCCAGAAACACAATATTTGTATTAATGTAAAAAATATAGTTATGTTTACTGTTTCATAACATTCAGACACAATGTCAATTGTAAATGAGCATGTTATCTTGAGAAAAATAATATGTGACGACTGCATGTGTGCACACCCAAACAAACATGGATACATGCTTGCACATGCATACACATGGAGAAACTCTACTTAACAATCACAGTTTAGAATGTGATGTGACTGAAATAAGGGTTAGCTTTTGGAGTAATAGAAATGTGGGAACTACTGATCTACATATTAGATTCTACATTCAGATTTGACAGAACCAGCCTACATCTGTCACAGCTTAAATACCCAACTAGTTGACATCTAGATTGCCTAGCCATGAGCACAGGCAAGAGGTGGCTGTTCTTGTTTTATGCAAGAAATGCACAAGCCAAGAGGAACCATCAGCTATATTACTATGCAATGTCTCTGTTGCTGTTTATCTTGTATGGCTATCAGTGCACCTTCAAATGGCTCACTCTTATGCAACAGTTTTCTTTGTGTTTCTGTTCTCATAAGACAATTCAGAAGCCTGGTTCACATACTCATTATCACTACTGAACTGAGATGATGAAATGTAAACTTGACCAGTGTTCTTCTGTATGATATTTATGTGAAGAATATAGCATACAAATCAAGAAAAAAAAAATCAGCCATATTCATCCTGATGAGCATGTTCCAGCTTCATCAACAACTTTTGAATTGGTGAAGAAAGTACATTCAACAGGGTCCTTCTTACACAAGAAATACAATTAGCATAATGTTGTGCTAGCTGAGGAAAAGCTTGACAAAACTGGAGCCAGATTAGAAAATTCGCCTAATAAACTGCTGACACAATTATCTCAACAGACACAGTACTCAAAGACAACAGCATGAGCAGCAACTAGAAAGCTATGTCTACTCCTGTATAAAATATGAGAATTTCAAGCAACAGGAGGCAATTATGAGAAGAACTCATTCAGTTGCAATTGCTTTTTGCAGGCAGTACATGAGAAGTATTCTTCACCCAAAACTTAAACTTTTCACTCATGAAGCTCCATTCCATCTGAGTTAGTCTACCGGTGCTTTAAAAAACAAAGTGTATTCGAACAATCCCCACTCACTGCATGAACTCAAACAACATTTGTGAAACAATTACACGTGTTGAAGTCATCAACTCAAAACAGTGTCAAATCGATCTTTTCGTGAGATAAAGTTTATTTAAGAGTAGAAGGGAGACATTATGAGTATGTACATCTACTGTAATAGTGAGTTATTCTGCTTTAAAAAAGGCGCATCATGGTTCACAATGTGTGGCATATTAGCCCTGTCGCAAAAGGTTGTACCACCCCTGTAGTTTTAGGAACCCCTGATGTCTGGGGTCATGCCCTCTACTAAAATCTATAGCATGTCAAAAGGTTGACTTGCTTCCACTTAAAAATATTATATCTACCACTCCCATTTTTATAAATCAGTGGAGTCCTGGAGTATTTCATCTGAGACCTATCCTTCAACTCACACTGTTGTAACTTGATATTCGTGAGGGGTTCATGTCTCCAGACATTGGGCTGCAACCTTAGTTTAGATTACAAATTGTCAATGAAAAATCTGTCGAGTGTAACAGTGTTTTTAGGTCACTTATTTATCTCACTTGCCNCGGGTGCAACCTTAGTTTAGATTAGTTTTTAAGAACAAGAGAAGAGTTGAAGGGTACATTTTTGTCTGGTTTGTTGCTAGGAGAAAGCTGGCCAGGCTTACATTACAGCTTGTATGNCAAGAAAAACCATCATCAGAGGAACGTATTACAAACACATGAAAACACTGGCGTTGTTTAATGTACACAGTATGTAAGCAGCTGCGTGGACGCTGTTACAGATGTCGAAGTGTAAAAGCACAACACTTTCTAGTAACATTAAATGCACGTACAACTCTTGCATTCCATCTGAAAATTGCCCTCAAATTGANATGCTAGACTTCTTTTTCTCAGAAGATGACAGGTCAGTTCCCAGCTAACAGGCTGAGCATAAGAAAGTCAGGCAATTCGGCCACCTGAGGATGATTCTGTATTACATTAATTAAATATTAAACACCCCTTATGACATACAATGTGTGATACAGCTTACCTTTGGTGATGGCATGACAGAATAAGTATTCATAATTCTGTCAGGGTATTCCTCTCGAATTTTTGAAATAAGGAGTGTTCCCAATCCAGAGCCTGTTCCTCCACCTAGAGAGTGTGTAAGCTGGAACCCCTGAAGGCAGTCACAGTTCTCGCACTCCTTCCTCACAACATCCAGCACAGCATCCACAAGTTCAGCACCTTCTGTATAATGACCCTTGGCCCAGTTATTTCCTGCCCCACTTTGCCCAAACACAAAATTATCTGGGCGGAACAGCTGACCATATGGACCAGCACGGACTGCATCCATTGTGCCAGGTTCCAAGTCCAGCAAAATAGCGCGTGGAACATATTTGCCACCTGTTGAAGAAGTTGCAACTGAAAATTAAAACAAATTCTTGCTTAGGTCCTTGCTGAAGGAGCTGTCTGGGTCCTACTAACATTGCTCAGAGTTTCTTAATAGTGCCTCCTTCCCAATGACTGTTTAAGAAAACCCTGTCCAAATATTGGTCAGGACCCTTCCAGATTGACCAGCTCTTCCAGGACGAAATCTCTATTCTCCATAACCCATTCAGACAAAAGTAATATAGCGTAGTTAAGATACCGCTGACTTCTGCTGATTTCATCATCCATTAAGATGGCGTTCCTTCTCACTTCTACTATGAAGTGAGACAATACCTGACCAAAACAGCATCACAGTGATGGATAGAATGTGGTATAAAGATGAACTGTGGTACTCCTGAGCCCCAGGTTGCCAGACCATTTGGGGTTACGGGAAGGATGCTGTGTTTGCACCACCACTGCCAACAGCCAGTCTGCAGCTAAAGCATAGGATCACTGAAGCTGTGATATCAGTTACCAAAGATATACCGCTACAGGTCTGGAAAGAACTGGAGTATGGGACTGAAGCCTACCATGTTAACTTGTGAGGCTCACACTGAGAGTCCATATAATTTATAAGAAACTTTGAGGGATTATCTATCAGTCTATAGGTATTACATGAATATAATATGGATACTTTCATTTCTATGATTTTCTCAAAGTGTTTGCTTCATTTTAAATTGCCCTGTATTTAAAGAGGATGAAATAAATTATAGATAACGTTCAGAGTTAAAAGGGCACTGAAGAAATAAAGTATGGAAAATAACAGACAAAAATAAAGCTAACACTGTTCAATGCAAAACAAAAAAGGTAAAATATAATTTGAAGCCAATAAATGTTCAAGTACAAACATTCTTTTCATTCTTTTCTTCCTGGGCCCCTGTTTAGTTTCAGATTTCCTATACAATACACAGTACTTAGATCACCCCAACACAAGAATATATGACCTCTGGGGTTTACAAAGTCCTCAACTTTGTGTGTTTTTATTTAGTTTTGTGCACTTCTAGTATATATCACAGAATAACAATAACAGAGTTACAATACTGAGTTTTAACATTACTAACAGAAACGGTACTTCAAGAGAAAGTGGCAAAAATTTGTTGATAAGTAAGAAAACTGAAAAAATTAATTTCATAAATACAAATATTTATATTAAATGAACTGGATATTATAGACTCAAAATTCTGTGTCTGAAAATGAAATTAAGGTATTAATGAAACTGGAATGTATAGACCACAAGTTTATCTCATATAGTGCAAGATTATGAAATGCTTTAGAACAGTTCAAACTGACCATAAAGAAGTGGCAATTGTGAATGTTTAGCCCTGTCTGTGTCAGGATTACAGCTGCCATCTATGAACTTATTTCATTTTCAAAAAAAACAATTTGATATTTCTCTAAAGCTCAGTCAGTTGATTCACTTTAAAGTCCAATGCTATAGATAATTCTGTAAGTTTGTGTTTCTGATGCACAGCCATTTCATATATACCATGGCAGCTGGCTCTATACCAAGTAATCATATGGGGGAGTGGATTTATAATTTAACACATTCTTGGCCTTGGCACTATTCAGAAATCTGTGGTTAGCTTCACGCCTTAGCTGCAGTCCCTGTCATGGAAGTCTGTACTATGCAGAGGATGGCAAGCTGGGTATACCCCACAACTTACTTAAATACTGTGGAGAAAAAAATCTCAGACAAAATTTCACAATATGGCAAATAACCTCAGAACAACGGGACTCTTAATAGACCAGAAACAAAAACATAGCTTTGATTGCTAACTGAGGAGAAGTTAGATGACGTAGGGGCCAGACTTGAACATCTAGAAAATCACTGAAACGTCTAGCTTAAGAGACTGGAGTGTCAAATTCTAACGCAAGAAGGGCAACACAATTGCTGAGGCTTAGACCCTACAAAACAACAGTAATCCACGCCCTGCAACTGTGCGATCCAGCTAGTAGGGTTCATTTTGAAGTTGATTTCTGCAATCTGTCATCGATAATTAGATCAATCGGCAATTGATATTCTTTTCTGCTGAAGCGTGGTTTCACTTGCAGGGATACATAAATATGCAAAGTAATCACTACTGAGTTCGCAGAATCCACATCTAAGCCACGAAGGTCCCGCTCCATCCAGTGAAAGTTAGTGTCTTGTGTGCTGTAAGTGCAGAAAGGAATGTTGTACCTGTGTCCTTTATTGAAACAATTAATTGTGAAAGATATCTACGTGTACAGGGCCAGAATTTTCAACATCTTCGATCTGTCAATTGTAACCACTTCTTTCCGAATGTTACCGGCAGTCATGTATGCTGATTCATTAGCAAAATTTGTATGTGCCTCACAGCAAGAGGCGCACCTGTCGCCTGTCAACAAAGTAAAAATCCTCCCTGTATATGGTATATATGTACACTTTCATGCCACATTTCACTGAACTTTCTACACTTAAGTGTACTAATAATGTCACTTAGTTGTATGTATCCTGCAAACAAATATCATTTTCAATTTATGGAAATTAATTTCAATTTAGACAGTTCCTCAATACTATTATTTTTTTTATTGCTAGTGGGGTCGGACTAAGTCCCTTGTACTGCGGCCACTTCTGGCCTATTGTACCAGCTCCAGATGATAGGTGAGGGTGATTGCTGAGCAATTGGTGGAATGAAGATTGGCAGGGGAAACCGAAGTACTGGGAGAAAACCTGCCCCAGCGCCACGTTGTCCACTACAAATCCCACCTGACCAGACCCGGGATCGAGCCCGGGCAGCCGCGGTGGGAAGCCAGCGACTAACCGCTTGAGCTATGGCGCGGCCCTCCTCAGTACTACCTCCATTCCCTTGCTTCTTACTTATCCTATTTAAGATGAATGTTATTCCAAAGGGACTGACAGAACATGACACTAGTGCATAGCCCATGGACACCATCATTCAGAACAGAGCTGTTGCTAGATGAATTCCAACTGGTTATCCAAGGAAATCTGAAAAGGTCACTGGCCAAGTCTGTATACAAAAGCTTCTTCAACTGCAATATTTAAATATTTCTTTTCTACCCAAACCTACAAGACAGAAGCAAACGTTTGTCCTGCACAGATGAACTAAGGCTTTGTTTCCATTCATGCCCTACTGGACACATCATGTCCAACCTTATATGACAGATGCTATGGAGTGGGTGAGCTAAGACATCATTAGGAAATATGTGACCAATTTAGGATGTCAGAAGAGAATGCAGTAGACAGGGATGCCCAACTGGTGGAATGCAGGAAGTAAATTGCGAACTAGATGCTTCTGTTTGACCCTCAAGATTAACTTTCCATTCCCCAAAATGTGTGCTAACAATTTCCTCCTCTTTATATATGGCAGTGTACCTATCAAGAAATTACATAAAGCACTTATAAACATTCTGTGTCATTTCTCAACTGATTTTGCATGACACCAAAAAATAACTTGAAGAATGGAATTATCATGGCTTCATGATAGCATGCAATATTGATACGAACTATCAAGCCTTTAGCAGCTGATCTATAAGCAGTGTCAATCTGACAAAATTTAATGTAAATAATTTTAAGTCCAGTTTTTGTTACATGCCTGTGCTTCACAGATATTATCACTGAATGACACAATGCAACTCACTGGTGGTCTGCCGTTGGACAGCCCTGCAGTAAACAGTATATCAGAATGATTCACAGCAGAGCTAACAGAGACCATTAAACTGCAGACACAGGCTGAATGATGACACTACAAAGGTCCATATCTTAAATTCCATGACAAAGGTCATGGCTAAGTACTTATAGTTAGTTCTCCTGCTCCATATTCTGGAAGTCCCATGCTCAAATACAGGCCCTGACTGAGGTTAATTTCTTTTCCTCAGTCCCACCAACCTTGTGTTAAGCCATGAATGTTTGCACATCCTTTCCATTTTATCATTCAGTAGCCATCCTATGTACTATTCTTACCAGAAGCCTCATTGTAATATACACTAATTCGCTCCAACTGAAGGTCTGAGGTCCCAACGTAAGTGCCAGTGGAATCAATGCCATGTTCATCTGATATAACTTCCCAAAACTGTAACAACAAAAACACATCAATATAATTATACATGTATAGATGTATGCATTGTATGCACAAGGGTTTCAAGTCAGTGCACATTAAAGATGTCACGTCTTTTCACACTGCAAGTGGAACCATAATTTTTCTTTTTTCAGACTACTTACAAATTGTGATTATATTTGATGTGCAAGATTCCATGCTAGAATTTTAAAGCAAACTGAATTTTGGTCCTTATCAGTCCATTCTTAACTCCTGCCTCACAAGAAGTTCAAATCAAATTTCGCTTCATTCTCAAAAGTGTACAAATAACAGAATCTATATCTAGTTAATGCCTGCAAGTTTATTTATAGATGGAGAGAGAAGTACTCATAAAAATACAAACCTCAGGAAGATAGAAATATTTGGATACCTAAAAGGTAGTAGTCAATTCTCAATTTTGAGAGCGAAGAAGAAGAAGGAGGAGGAGGAGGAGGAGATGAAGAGGAAGAAGAAGAAGAAGAAGAAGGAGAAGAAGAAGCTGGCATTAAAAGGAATCAAGGTAATGAATTTAGGACCCCTACTCCTATAGTTTGGGGGTTTGCCAAGTGAAACGCCACTGTCACAAATTACAAATTATAAAGATCCAATAACATTAAAATTATTTACAAATATAAAATCTTTTACGATACAAAAATCTGGATGAAAATATACATTGCGCTCCGACTGAAGATAAATGTACCTAAGGAGCTCGAGTCAAATTAATATCTATTGGGTTGGCAACCGAGGTTCAACTGACGAATATTTTCACCAACCCTGGTTACGGGGCCTGCCCACCCGGTGAGCACCCAAGTCTCTTTGGGAATGCGGTGGCTAGAGCGTCAAGCAGCAAACTCTCCTCCACCTACTTCCGGATTAGAAAGGATATTTTTGTTGTGATGACAGGAGCAAAGAATGGGAGCTGAATGCGTGTACTATTCAGTATGCAGGTAGTGTGCGCATGCAGCATGGAATTCTTACTTGTGATCAGAATTATAAATACAAAAGATATGAACTGGGCAATATAGTTAGTTCCCTCGTCTAAAAGTGAAGTGTTGAAAGCATCGCATTAAAACAGAGAGGCGCTGACTGCCTGAAATTCCACCAAAAGCAGTGTCAATGTGCAGGTGAAGCACTCCTCTGGGTTGTGCAGTACTTACTGCAATTGGATACCAACATTTCGGAGGAACATCCTGCTTCTACCTTCAGGGACCAAGTGAGTGTGATGAGGAAGTTTTTATTTGCTAGTGGGGTGGGACTAAATCCCTTGTACTGCGTCCACTTCTGGCCTATTGTACCAGCCCCAGATGACAGGTGAGGGTGATTGTGGAGCAATTGGTGAAATGTAGATTGGCAGGGGAAACCGAAGTACTCGGAGAAATCTCGTCCCAGCGCCACTCTGGCCATCACAAATCCCACTTGACCAGACCCGGGATCGAACCCGGGCCGCCGCGGGGAAGCCAGCGACTAACCGCTTGACAGTGAAGTTACATACATGGGCAGAAAGCAAGGAAGTAAATCTCTGCAAACCCTGTCAGGAGAGGAAGACTAGGTAAAGGCAATATGGGTAAACAGGTGCGATGAACAAGTACTGCAAGGGCACGCATGTTCCTCTATAATGTTGGTATCCACCTGAAATGCAGAGGATTGCAATCTGAAAATGCATCGCCTTGAAAATCTCAAAACTTGTAATGAAACAGTTTCTTATACACCTAGGAGCTTCCATTCCACTTCCTCGATGTGGACGTCTAAATTACTTCACGCACACGAGTCCAGCAGGATGTAGGCTGCCGGGGAACCCCGCTACAAATTTGTCCTTCAGGAAGCTCTGAGGTGATATACCTGCATTGCATTCCATTCTGGTCTATGCGTTTTCTCGTTAACTCAAACCTCCCTGTACTCCACTTTGCTTGCCTGCATGAAATGTGTCAGTAGCTAGACACTACCGTGTTCCCGCCGGCTAGACAAATTGTTTGGGTGGGTACTGTTCAGTTCAGGTAAAGTTGTCCCTAGACTTAATTAATTAAGCACCACGCCATGAAGACGTATGGAGGGGCGTTGGTATAGATCACGTTTGGGCTGAAAGAAAACGAAAAGACTACTAACATACACGTGGCGGATATCAATTCAAATAGCGTCAACAACAGAGTCAGAGCTGAAAAACTAGAAACGGTAATAATAGTATAAGGAAATAAATTAATATTTTTAAACAATGATAATTACTGAGTAACATTCATGAACGCTGGCACTAATATCAAATTTGTTGGATTAATTATCGACAATATGTTGTCGTGGAAAGGACCTATCGCCTGGATTATGTCTAAATTAGGTGCAGCCTGTTATGCAATGAGGGCTATTAACCATATATGTCACAGGATGCAATAAGAATGATTTATTTCTGATATTTTCATTCTGTTATGACATGTGATATAATGTTCGGGGGCAATTCTCCCAATAGTGTTCATATTGTTAGGCTGAAGAAAAGTGTAATTAGAATAATAATTCTAACTCTAGAAGCAAAGACTCTTGCAGGGAATTGTTTAAGAAACTGAAAATTTTGCCCTTCCATTCACAGTACAGAGAACAATTTAAATCTGTGAGATTCGTAGCATTAATACAAGACCATTATCCAGTATGTACCTTAACAGTATTTCGAAAAGGAACATACGATTTTGGAATCAGAGTTTTGAATAATCTTCTTTCAAGCATAAAAAAAACTCATAACATGAAACAATTTAGATTTGCTTAAAAAAATATTTCTACTCTTAAATTCATTTTACTTATTGGAGGAATATTTTAACTTCAATATTAATTAACGGTATTGGTCTGTTATACGCTGGAGTATGAATAGATACCAGATTTTCAGTATTCATTACATTTCTGTAAGATGTGTTATTATTTTTGCCATTTTATTCTGCCCAGAACTGAACTGGTGAAGATGAATATATCAGATTTTCATGATCATTAAATGCAGGCTTAATCTTGTTGACAAGGCTACAGTTCACATTCTCGAGTTCCATCATTCTAATGAAATTAATAATAAATGGGAACATGAGTATTGTTGCTTACTGTGCATGATTTATAATACTTAAATGTAACCGAAAAAACTATGTTCTGTGTGGCTTTCAAGTGTAAGCTGTGAGCAAATTATGAGGTTTAATATAAGTGTGTCTGATGAAAACAGAATTTTCTTTCAAATTTTCCGACCTTCAGCTTTCCTAAATACAAGTATCCCGTGTATGTTACAGTTCACAATGCCCAGGGCATTTGGATAAAGAGGAATGTAATGTCAAAGAAGGGTTGACTTTCAGGGCACTGGTGAGAAACTTTCTCCAGATAAATAATTTGTAACCTGATCTAATGTGCTGCAGATGCTCTTACTACGTTTTCTTCCTTTTTGGGGGGAGCATCACTTCACTCATATCCCTCCCATAGGATAAGAGTGAAGTGTTATGGAACACAGTTAAGGGGGGGGAAGAACCTTTGCAGTGTAAGGGATCTGGTTGCAAAATTATTTATTGCTATTCTTACGAAAAACGCCTTCCTTGGCAATGGGCGGGGGGGAGCGAAGAGCACCCAAAAAGGATGTGGTATGTTAGCACACCCTCTTACCGTTTGTGCTCTCGGCTCTGGCGGCCATTTTTTTCATTTAATTAGTGGCCCTTTTGTTTTAGAGTAGTTAGTTATTAGAGAGGGTGGGTTTCCCCATGCACTTAGACCTGTAGTGGTCCATTGTGCTTCCCTCTATGATTTCTACCAGCCTCTATATCTTACCGGTATTGGTGCTTACCATCAGTCCCGCCCAGCCAGCGAGACCGGCTCTACTGGCTGAGAAGTATCTATAATGCTTCCCCCATCTACCGGAGGTATTAGTGACTGCTGTTGGGCGGCAAACGTCCGCAATTTTGGCTCAGTGACCTCCTTTGGAGGTGTGAGGTTCTTTTACGTGCCGTAAAGCTACGACACGGGACCCACGGCTTAAAGTCCCTCCAGGAGGACTTGTTCCCTGAATTTTTCCGCCCTTAAAAATTCGACGACCTCCGCCGGGTATTTGAACCTTATTTTAGAGTAACTGCAAGGAAGAGGATCTTCTTGAGAAACCGTTACCCAGTCACCCACTCAGCTGTGCAGACGCCTTGCACAGCGGCAGCACGCAATTGGATCTGTCGGTAGACCAACTCGTGTTTGTATAAACACACTCCATTCTCGATTATCCGATGATGGATCATCCGCTTTGCGGATTAACCACAGAGCCTTTGGCTTATGTATTTTCGTATCATGTCATTAAGTGTCCAGCCTTCTGCAGAACCCGAACGTTCATACAATTCCTTGCCAAAAATCGCATATTTTCCGAAGATATATTCGCATACTTTACAATATCCTCATTAGCCTAAAACGGCGCTGATGTCGCTTCTTGTTCATAACTTCGCACAAGCGTCACTTTATTCACTGTAGAAAATTGCGGAGCACGAACATCGGTTGGCGTCTAGTGGCGCCATGTTCGTACTAAATTCAGCCAACTTTACACTGCGGTGTATAGGGAGAATCCTAAGTCCTGACCATTCTTCCTTTCAGCCAGGTTTCCCCTCAATAAAGGCATATCTACATAACTGTAGGAGTAAACACTACATAGGATGTTTGTAAAGGGTGCTTATAACCGAATCCCGGCCAGGTTTCGGTTTAACACGAGTGGACATATTTCTGGATGAAAATTACACAGCACATACCAGACATATGTTCGGCCCAAATTCCAATTCCGAATTTCACATGCCCACACTGCAGTGCCACTGGGCAGCACAGACCTACACATTCAGTTTTCTTGGCCCCCTCCTACCCTTCCTTGCAACAGTCACACAGTCTGTCGATAAGAATGTTCACTATCAAACAATTCCAAGAAGCACAATACGGTACAAAATATCAGCAACAAACATGTCCAAATAATTTTACCTCAAATTCTTGTTTATTTCTCTGTTTCGCATTAACGAATTATTACAGGCAGT